CTGTTTTCCTCAATATAACACTCTTTTGTGTGTCTTTCCCATTAATATATGCTTTGCCTCCCTAACTTACTAGGCTCTGTGTGAATGTTCCTGTCTGAAGCCCTGCGTCGCAAAATTCGGAGAAGTGCAAGTACTGAGGGACAACTATGTTCATACTTTAATTAAAGAAACGGATGTTTGGTGAGTTTTCTGGACAAGGGACAGCCTGGCTTGAATCAGAACTCAGCCCTGAAATTTACTGGGTCCCCTTGGATCAAAAGTGTCCTCACAGCCTGGCCTACCTGCCAGGGTTGTTGTAAAGGTATGATGCAAAGGGGGAAGAAGAAACTGTGCATGGCGGAGGCAGAGTGGGATTTAAAAAGGTGAAAGTGGAAGAAAGAAAGTGTTGGAAATGTCACCAGACATCCGTCTTGCCTACTGATTTTTCTCTCTTGCACACAGACACACTTTCTTTTGGCCACCTCAAGGGCATCCTGAATTCTGCCCACCTAAGGCTCTGGGTTCAAATCCTAGACCAGGGTGGGCAACACACAGTCAATGGGTCACATCTGCCTCTGGGCCAAAAAGTCCCATCCGTCATGTGTCTGTGCATGAGTACATATGAAGAATCACATTCCTTGAGGTGTCTCTGGAAGATTCTTCTCTAAAACAATGCCTTCTTTTAGAGCTTTTCTTTTCAAAAATGGTTTTCTGGTTGCTTCCATTTTGGCTCCTCAGAGGTATGGGTCACAGAGGAAAATGCACACACACCGCCGGTCCTTTGAAAGGGCCCTTCCTTAGGCAATCCTTAGAGCCGGAGGAGGCACTCGGAGGTCCGCTCTTCCCAGGTGTCTCTTGGAGGAGACACCTCTGAGCATGGTGCTACAGGAGGTACCATAAATTATGCAAATTTCCTTCATTTGCATACCGTAATCAGGTTGCAGGGCTTTTAAAAATGTTTAAGATTAGATGCAGAAGTGGTTATTTGTGGGAAAGAAGAATGCAAAAGAGGTGGATGGAGGCATGGGCAGGGAAGAGGCATCCCATCGCTAATTTGGCACATCGCCGCTGCGTCCGTCTGCGTTCCTGGCACACTCCTAGCCATTCCTCTCTCCTTTGAGCTAAGGCACTCTGTTGTTGTTGCCATCATCATCATCATCATCATCATCATCATCTAAAGACAAGCACTCCTCATTAAGGAGCCAGCAGATTAGCTTTGGACAATATAGCTCAGAGAGCCCAAAACACAAGAGCTCCTTGTGATGCCCCCTCAAACTTCTGTCCGTGTTTGTTGCTTTTTAGGGGAACGTGGAAACTGGGGACATGGGCATCAGCCATTAAATTAGGAAGGCTGCTGGGGCTGTGTGTGAGGTGTGTGTGTGCGCAGGTGTGGGTTCCCGAAACGTGAGCGGATTCAGTTGGCAATCCTGGCAGAGCGCCTCTCCTCCCAGCGGCTTCCTTGGGCTCAATGAACGGCGTTGGCGGCCTGCGGCCAAAGATCTGGACGGTTAATCCCAATCAATGAGTGGGATTCGGCTTTCCTCCCCTCGGAGGCTCACGGCCGTGAGAACTTCTCTGGCTCTCAACACCTTCTTCACGCCCAGGTTTCTTCCGTTCCTTTCCTATTCCATCTGCTTTCTCTTCTTGCTTCTTGGAGCCATTTTGGAGAAGAGGAGCAGGAAGTGAAGAGCCTGGAGTGGGGCTTGGGAGATCCAGGTTCTAAACCCCAATATGTTCAAGGTTCTAGCATTCAGTGAGTCCAAGGTTCTCGACCCCAGGGAGTCCCCATTAAGTCCAGGGTTCTAGCCTCCAATGAGTCCAAGGCGAGAGTCACCAGTGAGTCCGGGTTAGTAGTCCCCCCGGAGTCCGAGGGTCCAGTCCCCAGTGATTCCAAGGCTCTTGCCCCCAGTGAGTCCAGTTTCCCAGTCCCTAGTGGGATGGGACCAAGAAAGGACCAGTGTGGCGTAGTGGTTGGAGAGTTGGGACTCTGGGAGACCAGGATTTGCATCCTTGCTCAGCCATGGAAACCCACAGGGTGACCTTGGGCAAGTCACACTCTCTCGGAGGATGGCAGTGGCAATCTCCCTCTGAAGAAACTTGCCAAGAAAACTCCATGATGGGTCGCCTTAGGTCTCCCTAAGTCAGAAACAACAAAAATGGGTCCAAGGCTTTAGCTCCCGGTGCCTCCAAGCATTGAGCCCCAAGAAGGCATCACTGGAACCTCCCTGCTGAGGAGCAGTCTACCCATCAATGCTGGAGAGCAAAACCCTTTCCACTCTGTTTACAGGCTCCATGGAGGGATCAAGGAAGGAAGCCTCTGTGCCTGGGAAGCAAGAGGCTGGATTCGCTGGGTTTCTATTCCCCTTTTCTCCGAAGGCAGCTCCCAAAAAGATCAAGAGAAGGAGATGCAAGTACGAACAGAAAGTTAAAGTATTCACAACACAATTACAACACAATTAAAGAAGTGGTATTATTAGAGGGCAATTAAGTTAAAAGCCATTTAGAAGCAAATCAGTTTCTTTTTTTAAAAAATGAAATGAAATAAAACGCAACTCCCAGCCAGTTCAAAGGCCTTTGTCCAAAGTCCAGCCAATGTCAAAAGCTCTTTCTCGCTTCAGCTTCACTTCTCAAGGGGTCCCAAAATCCCTTGGGAGCAAACAAGATCGGGTCCGAATCTTTCCCAATGTGTCCTTTGGAGACAGGTGGGGTTGGAACCGAACCTCCGTTTCCCAACGCAGTCTATCTCAAGAGTATGAGGTCCAGAGGACCTTAGCAAACTGGTTGCTGTGCTAGGCTTTGGTCTGATCCTGCAACGTGGTGTGTGTGTGTGTGTGTTGTTGTTGTTGTTGTTGTGTTTTACAGACTCAGCACCCTGACTTAGGAATTTGGGTATTTTTTTAGAAGGGGGACTACAAGTCCCCAAATATCCCTACTATGGCTATGCTCTCTGGGTGGATTCTGGGAGGTGTAATCTTCCCTGGCAAATATATATATATTTCAGGCATGGAAAGGAAGATATTTTGGTTGAGTGCCATAGAGGGAATCTGTTTCTCCAGTCCATGCAGTGAGCCTCCCAGCAGATAGATGTCTGTAGGAGAGCCATCTCTGCCTGTCCCAGGGGAAGAAGGAAGGGTCAATGCTCAGTCCCTGGCCTACACCGCAGGGTGGGATGGGATGGCCTCCGGGGCCAGGGCCAGATGCCAAACATCTGGGTGAACTGAGCTTGCCGGCTCTTGCTTGCATGCCAGAAGGGAGAGGGCTTTTTCGCAAGCGCTTCTTCCTCATTCCTTCCTTCCTTCCCTGCCTTGCTTTGGCTTCCCTCCCTTTCTGCAAACATCTTCTGGCAGAAGAATGCAGCCAACCCAAAGCCATTCAGGGCAGCTCCTCTCCTCTCCTCTTCTTGCTCTCTAGATGTAATACAATTAACACCATGCACAAAGCAGCGATACCTTTATTGGAACAACCAAAATGCACAAAATACAGGGTGCAAGCTTTCCAAGCTCTCCCCCCAGAGGCTGAGAAAGTGTGACTTTGCCCAAGGTCACCAGGGCTGAGCAGGGATTTGAACCCTGGTCTCATGGAGTCCTTGGCCAACAGTGAAACCACTCCACTGCCATTGGCTCTTTTTAAAAAGGGTTTTCTTGGCATGCAGTATATACAAGATTGTACTGATTGCATTTATGATTTATTCAGAGGGACTTTTGCAAGACACAAGAGGCTGGAGCCAGTGTGGTTTGCAGTGGTTTGAGTGTTGGACTATGACTCCGAAGACCAAGGTTCAAATCCCTCCTCAACCGTGGATGGAAACCCACTGGGTGACTTTGGGCAAGTCACACTTTCTCAGCCTCAGAGTATAGCCATGGCAAAGAAGAAACTTGCCAAGAAAATCCCATGACAGATTCGCCTTAGGGTCGCCATAAGTCAGAAACAACACGAAGGCATGCAACAACAACAACTACACCAGATTGACTTCCAGCCTTTTCAAAGGCTCACCAGGGATGATGGGAGTTGCAACCCAATGCCCCCAAGATGGAGAAGGCTGCTTTGCACTAAGCAAGCATCCCTTTGCAAACTCCTTTCTGGTTGGTTTATGGGAACGTAAGCAGCCCCTTCGTTGGGCCCAGAACTGCTCTTCCAGACCCCAAAATACAAGAGGGTTGTGCAAGCCGAGAGAGAAATCCTTCCAAACCTCCTCCTCCGCCTGAGAAGCCCCCACCTGCCAAATATTCATTTCAATTTAATTTCACAGTCGTAATGGATTTTTCCGAAAGTATTTCAAGAAGATATTGACTCCCTCTCCCATTGACTTCCTCTCCCATTTGGAGCCATTCCCCAAACCCAGCCCTTGCTCCATCCATACTGCCGCTTTCTCTCTCTTTCCATGGAATTCCCCAAGGCATCCTCAATCTTGAATAATTTCAGGTAGATTATTATTTTTTTAATCAATAGCTGACAAGACTTGTCAAATTACTTCAGGGACCAACCAAGCAATTTTGAAACATTCATAAACCCTCGCAGAAGCCTTAAAAGTGCACTGAATT